CTCAAGCAAATCTCGGGACGTCATTCTCCCCCTGTACTCGGCCTTAGTGAGGCCGCAGCTGGAGTACTGTGTCCAGTTTTGGGCTCCACAATTCAAAAAGGATGTGGAGAAGCTTGAGAGAGTCCAGAGAAGAGCCACGCGCATGATCAGAGGTCAGGGAAGCAGACCCTACGATGACAGGCTGAGAGCCCTGGGGCTCTTTAGCCTGAAAAAGCGCAGGCTCAGGGGTCATCTGATGGCCACCTACAAGTTTATCAGGGGTGACCACCAGCATCTGGGGGAACATTTGTTCACCAGAGCGCCCCAAGGGATGACGAGGTCGAATGGTCACAAACTACTTCAAGATCGTTTCAGGCTGGACGTAAGGAAGAATTTCTTTACTGTCCGAGCCCCCAAGGTCTGGAACAGCCTGCCACCGGAGGTGGTTTGAGCGCCTTCATTGAACACCTTCAAGATGAAACTGGATGCTTATCTTGCTGGGATCCTATGACCCCAGCTGACTTCCTGCCCTTTGGGCGGGGGGCTGGACTCGATGATCTTCCGAGGTCCCTTCTAGCCCTGATGTCTATGAAATCAATGAAATCTATGAAAGTTAGAAATTGTAGTTTACAAATTAGTCTCTGGTTTGGTAGCACTTTACCTGTTAGGTGAACTTTATGCCACAGTTAAAGAATGGTTCTGTAAATACAGCATTGTTAGTTTCAGTGTTAACACAATAAGTGTATATGTGTGTGTCCCTGACTAAGGTAGCTCTCTACTCTGTCTTCTGTATATGTATGTTACAAATTCACTTCAAGCATCCTATCATTCAGTTGAAAATTTACAGTATGTAATTTTTAGAGACTGGACCATGGAAAGAAATAACTACTTATAACATTTAATGAACAGAGTAATATAGAACCCAGTATCACCACTGCCTGCTTGTAGTGCTCTCTCTTTTACACTGAGATTTTTATTTGGATACCTTGTTGATTTTAAAATAAAGTTTTAAGGCCCCTTTCAAACACAATTACAATTGTAGTTCTCCCTACATAATGGGTTCATCTACACATGCTATTAATACGCTGGAAGCTTACTGCACATTAAGCTTTCCCTGGGAGTGCATCTACACTTGTGCCTGTCGGAAGCAAATTTGTTCCTGACAGGAGCAGTTGAGTGCAGGGCTACTCCTGCCCTGCTCTGCTCCTATATGGCAGCCAGGGGGAGCTCTACCCCCCCCCCAGCCCTGGGCTAGCAGGAGGCACCAGGACCAGGCCTAGGTTCCAGGGAGTGGGGGAGCTGTCCTGCCTCCAGGGCAACTGCCTCCCACTCCACCCCGGGCACCTGCCTAGCACCGACTCTGAGACTGGAGCAGAGGCTTGGACATTGTCTTCTGCCCCAGCAGCTGCCTGCTACCAAGCCCCAAATCTCCTCTCAGAGCTGGGGCTGGGATATGGTCCCCTGTCTTGGCAGCAGGCAACTGCTGGGCCTCAGCTCCAAAATTGATGCTCCCACCCCCACTCTGAGATCAGAGCTGGGGCTCAGTAGCTTCCTGCTGCCAAGGCAGGGGACCATATCCCAGCCCCAGCTCTGAGATTGGAGTATTTAAAGGTATTAGAAAACCATGCATTAGACTCTATTTTACTGTTCAGTAGTTGCTGTGTATTGTTACATAGTGACATTTTACTGCACAGTAGATTAGTCTACTGGGCAGTAAATCATCTCATGTAGATGTAAATCCCAGTTAGGAACTGGAAACTCATAGGAAATTGGCTAGTATGGGAGATAACGTCTGTTTTTCTCACCTATATGTATCTGTTGGTTCATCCTTATTTGAATGATTGGTAGAGGAGGGAGGGGGCAAGAGTGAATTCAGCTGCATTTTAACTAGTTGATGTATATGTGGCAGGGCACTTTTGGGTGACTGCCACTTTAAGGCTGGGAGCAGGCAGCTGGCGGGTGCGGGCCTGCCCTGATGAAGTGCCCATTTTAGATCCAGGCTCTGAAGGCTGAGGCAGCAGTTTGCTGCCAGCAGCTGAGAAGACAACAGCTGACTGAGTTGCTGCTCAGAATATCCTGGAGGTAAGGGCAGGAGCTATATGGGTATGACTTGAAACTGCACCCTGCTGGGGAGGACAGCCTGGTGGGACTCCCTGTGGTGGGGGAGTTCCCCAGAAATGCCAGGTCAGTTGCCTCCCCAATGAAAGGTGGGTAGGGGTACCTTAAACCTCAGCCCCCACATCCTGGTGGGATACCCAGATTTAGGGCCAGGCATGGGGGCCAGGCACACCTTTGAGCATCTGAGCCCCAGAGGGGTGTAAGACCCTGGAGGCCCCAGGGAGGGGGAAGTAGTTTGGCCCAGAGAGAGTGGGCAGTAGTGTGGCCCCAGAGAGGGGGGCAATAAAGCAGGTTTGGCCTGCACAGAGTAGGGTGCGCAGCAGCAGTCTGAAGGCCTGTGCATTAAGGGTGTTGAGTAGGGCTGAAGGGACAGTCTGAAGAGCAGCACATGGGCCAACCCCCAGGAGAAGGGTATGTTTGTAAAGTTTCCCAGTGAGGGGCTAGGGGCAGAGTCAGTGTTTGGAGAATTGGCTGGTCACCATCCAGATAAGGGTTGCAGAGGACATGAGAAGATGTGTGCTGGCCAGCCAAGGAATGAAAGTAGGCAAGCCTGATGGCCTATGTGGTCATTCAAGGCAGCAGGGAAAGTTGGGTGTGGCCCAGTGAGGGGCAGTGTGCAAGAGGCCCAGTGAGAGAGGGCAGAGTGAAAGAGGCTCCAATGAGGGGGGGCAATATGAGTGTGACCCCAAATAGGGTAGTGTGCAAGAGGTCCATTAGTGGACTGAGTTTGTCCTGGCCTCAAGCCGGAGCTGTAATAATAAACTGGATGCCATCTGCGAGGCATGGGCCATGGGGTAGGGGTGGTATGGAGCAGTGGAGAGCACCCCCTGGCATTGGGGAAGTAAAACGGGCAGCCTCCTGCATTTTACACCAATTTAAGAAACAACAAGTCATGGCAGGCAAGACTGGGCAGACAACCCTCCTTAGACAGTTGGGCAGGCCAATGCAAGACCCGGCCCCAAGTTGGCCCCTTGTCACAGTATACAAATATTGAAAATTGTCATCACCATAAAAGCAATTCAGGAAATAATATCCCCAAATACACTGGTTTGCATCATTTCAAAGAGTGCTCCTGAAATGATAAAAAGGTAGTCAGAGATTTTCATTAATTTCAAGAAATGACAAAAATAGCAAAATATATAACCACAAAATTCAGCAGTATGTAAAACACATGAAATTCTCAGTAGTAGTCAGCTTTTTCTTTGTATGATTTCCTTTAGGTATTCAGCACAAGGACATTAAACCCATACCAAAATCTATTGTAGCAGCTTGCATCTCAGTCCCTGGTATCCTTGTGGCTATGATAATATTGATGCACATAGTTTCTTCGAAGTATTTGAAGAATAAAGAGTGAGTTGATGTTTGTTTCCCCATTGTATAAGTATATAGTTGCTAACAAGAGTTTGCAGCTAAAAATTCATGACTATCTTTTGAATTCTGCAACACAAAATATTAACTTTTAATAGTAGAAGACAACTCTAGACTATAAATTAGGCTTCTGATGTAAGGAGTTAAGTTGTCATCCTAATTTGTAAAAATGAACATGCTTTTCTGAAAATTTCTTTTTTAATTTTTGCAGAGAACCAGCAAAAATTAATACTTCTAAAACTTGCGAAAGAGAGGAACCCAAAAAAGGTGAACTCAAAATAATCTCAGAAACAAATTCTATAAAAACAGAAAAAGACACTGAGGCAGTAAAAAAACAACCTTTTCCCAAAAAAATGAATCAACTCCCAGTACATTTGTTACCACAGGAATCTAAGGAAAATGGGAAACACTTGAAAACTGCAGTAAAACAACCAGTAAAAAAATATTCCTCCATTAACTCACCACCAATAACAAATGGAAATCCATCAACTTCAGCTAAACCTTTGAAGTGTGAACAACCCCTTGGCAACTACTCATCCTCCAAAATGAAAACTTACAAGAACCATAGAACTAGGCCTAGAACTTCAAAAATAACTCCTCACAAACCAAGACAACCTTCTGCTGCCCCTGAAGAACTTCGTTATAAAAGACTTCAGGATACAGATGAAAAATTACCAAGGCATAATAAACATAGATCCACATCTACAAAATATAATATGGCTCATGCAGATTGTCCAGCTCAGGATGGCTACAGCAGTCTTTCAAATCCTGGTGATTCTTCATTGGATGGATCCAATTCTTTAGATGCATCCACAAAAATGTATCACTCGCAGATATCCCTACAGAATGGTCCACAGGTTCTGTGTCACCAACACAGAAAGGATTCTTTTAGCTCAGATTCATATTCTAATTAGAGTACTAGTAGCATTCATTCAATTAAGCTCTTACTTGATCACAGGGATCCTGGTTTTCTCTGATTAAAAAAAAACCCAAAATTTTCTGATTTACCCCCCACCCCCCAAATCCACCTTTGTCCATGATTAAAATGAAACACCACTATATATATTAGTGGACAAAGATATATATATAGTGGTGTTTCATTTTAATCATGGACAAGGGGGGATTTGGGGGTTTTGTTTAAATCAGAAAATTTTGGATTTTTTTATCAGAGAAAACCAGGATCCCTGTAATGATCAGTGATATCCAGCAGCATTTCATACCAGTCATTTTACAATGTATGATCATGATATTAGCCCTGGAGGTATTTTTTTTTCTTTTCTAGTTTGTAATTGAATTAATAAATAAATGTATTATTGAATTAGAGTTTCAAACTTGATAATCTTGTGAATAGTCCCTGGACTGGTGATGACAGCCTGCAGAGTAACAAACTGGTTTACACACAAAGGTTAGAAATGAGCTACATGAGATTCTTTGCTTCCCCGTTTCCTCTCCAAAAAAATACTGGGCTAGAAGACATACAGATCTGGCCAGTTCTGCAAGGGCCAGCGCTCTGCCTCCACCGAGCTCGTAGGAAGATCTAGGCTTAAAAGGACAGTTGTCAGAGCATCACTTATTTGTGGCATAACATGCCTGAAAATGCACCATAACAGGCACTACCTCCATAGTAGCAGCCTGTATGCAAGACTCATCATTTTTTTCACAGGATTGTAAAAAGGCAAAACTCAGTTATAAAACACCCTTAGCTAATGTTGTAATACTGATAGCATAAGAGAGGTGCAGAGAAGAGACTCATATTGAATGTATGCACCAAAGATTTTTGTCAAAGGTTTATGTCATGATTTTTTTCTCTCCAGGGAAAACATTTTATCAGACATTATTTTTAGCATACTGCAGGTACTGTGGAATTCAGAAGAAACCCCAGGAATTATATCCTCTCTTTAAAACGAGCCAAGGTTGACTGTTGCATTACCAGAGGAAATTAGATAGTTGCAGATTATGGAAAAAAATATTCATTCAGGCTATGAAATTAAGAAGAAAAAGACCAAGAGGAAACAGTTATTTTAAAGAGTCCAGTTTCAATACCACCACAGAATACAGACTGCCTAGCAAAACAGCACACAGGGAAATCCAGGGAGCTATGGAAAACATAAGTCTTGGAAGAGCACAGGACTGAATGGGTCAGCTGTCAAATGTTATATAAGTTTTTTAGATGGTCTGGCATCACCACTATTCTTCTGGGGCAGGGAAAACCAAGCTGGCCCCTTGTGCTCGAAGCTTTAATGCTGTATAGTTCTGCCCGGAGTAGCAGTCCACACAAACTAAAACCATAGGCTCCTCCCAGGATACTCAAGAGCAGTTTTGTATGGAGAACTCAGACTGCAAACACGACATGGTAAAACAATGCCACTTCTAAAGGCTTCTTCATCCATTGTTTTTGAAGTACTTTACAGAGACAGCTAAATACAATTATCCCCCTTTTGCCACTGAGGTATAAAGAAGGGCCTCTTCTGGATCACAGCAGTGAAGCAATGATGCAGCCAAAAACATGAGAAGGCAGGAAGAATGATTTTGTGTTTAAGGTGGTGAACTTGTACCCAAAAAGGAATTCAATTCTCAATTCTGCACAGCCTTGGGCACAGGCTTGCTAGTCAATGGACTAACATTAAACATCTGCTTATAGGCTTCCTGAATCTGCCTCAAGATTTTGCCTGTAAGAACTGGAATAGTAATGCTTCCGTGCAGCATAGGAGTGCTGTAAAGATAAAATCATTGGGCGTCTATACATGCGCTCCGGGGCGGGTGCTTTAATTAGAGTGGCTCTGAGAGCCGCTTTAATTAAAGTGCCCTCAGCATTACTTGTATTCAGTGCCCCGTGCTTCAAAGTGGCAGTGGAGGCACTTAGACTAAAGCTTGTTTGACGAGCTTTAAAGTGCCCACACCACAATTTTGAAATGTGAGGATGCTGAACACACATGATGTGGAGGCTGCTGGAGTGCATTCATTAGCACACTTCAGCAGACTTGCAGCACACTCAGATAATCAAGTCTGCTCTGATACGTGCTAATTATCACACTCTGTCATGTGTACAGGTGCCCATTAATTCTGGGAGGCATTCTCTGACTATGAGGCTAGCAAGAGAGAGAGTGCCTACGTCCCTTCCAGACCTTCTTTTGTGTGACTCTGGGCCCCACTATGTGTGCAGGTAAAGGCACGGTAAGATCTAATGTGCAATCCATACAATTGAACCTCCTGTTATGCCATGCATATATGGCAGGAGGCATGATTGTGGGATTGCACATTAGATCACATTGCACCTTATTTCTAGTGCAGGAGCAACCCAATCCCAGGCTCCCCCTGTGTTGGCAAAAAGCAATGTCCCATGGCTGGGAACCTTCTCAGTTGAGGGGCTCCTGGCTGCGGGGGCACCCCATGCACCCCTGGCAGCTGAGGGATCCTGGCAGCTGTTTCACACCCCTCCCCCCACCCCAGTACAGCAGCATCTCCCAGCAGCTGGGGCTATGAGTCCCCAAGTTGTAGGACTCCCAGCCATGGCTGGGCAAGGTGCACCCATTGACTAGCCACCCTCAACTGACAGGGCTCCCAGCTGCAGGGGAGACCCTCTACATGTGCAAATTAAAGCTAGACAGCAACCAGTTATAAAGTTAACACAGGTGACCCTCACCATTCATGGGGGATACGTTCTCATATCCCCTGTGAATGGCAAAATCCACAAATAAGGAATCAGGTCCTTCCAGGAATCAGGTCCTTGGGTGATGCCTCTATAACCATCTTTCTTCTTTCTAGGACTGGCAAAGAAGCCTAAGGTTCTGCCCCAAGTAAACTCTGCTATTTATGTAACTTGGGTTGCAGAAAGCCTTACCCTGGCCCTTCTAAAATGAGCTTATGTGATAAGCTTTTCCAGAGTGAAGCATCCACTGCATAGAGTTATTAAAATGAGCTCAGTAGAGACATAGAGAGCCCCAGCACAGTGCCCCCAGTGGCTGGGGGGGAGGGGCACGGCTCCGGTGGCAGCAAGCACGGAGCTCCCGAGGAGCTCCTGTAAGTGCATAAAGTGTATTAAAAATGTGGGTTCAGCATTCACAAATATTTGAAACCGTGAATGCTGAACCCGCAAATAGCAAGGGTTTCCTGTACACATTTTCAAGGTCAAATTTTATAGCTGGTTGGAGCTTTCTATTGTGTGATAGCTACTTTGCACGTGTTTTTGCTGGTCTCCAGGTAATTCCTTAATTAACAAGTTAATTGCTCAATACCTCTAACACGTAGATGGGGGCCTCTATATCTCCACTGAGCTCACTTTAATAACTCTATGCAATGGATGCTTTACTCTGGAAAAGCTTATATAATAAGCTCATTTTGGAAGGGCCAGAGTAAGGCTTTCTGCAACTCAAGGTACATAAATAGTGGAGTTTACTTGGGGCAGAACCTTAGGCTTCTTTGCCAGTCCTAGAAAGGAGAAAGATGGTTGTAGAGGCATCACCCAAGGACCTGATTCCTGGAAGCCAGGATTATATTGACACTAGTCTAAAACAGGCTCCTCTTTCAGCTACATTTTAAAGGAAAACAGCGAGCTCTCTTGGTTCTTTCTAAGAACGGGGGTAAGCACCTGTGTTATCACTTCAAATTGTAACAATCAATGGAAAACAGTGCTTTAGAGCAGATGCAATATATTCATTATGTCTTTGGGTACAAATCTGTACTGTATATCCATCAAGTGTCCTTTCTTACTCAAACTACTTACAGGTATAGGTTAAATACTGTATCAAGAAGACGCAGTGAATCTGGTGTCTGGCTGAATTAAAGAAAAGGAAAAGTTTATTTGGATAGTGCTACATTTTAAGTGACTGTTTGCACAAACTGTTTTCTTTCTTTATTTTTCCTTTTTTGTGTTGTTATCACTAGTCTGATCCAAAGTGCTATATTAAGACTGTATAAAGGCACAGGTCAAAACATGGCTGTGGGGAGTGGGGAGCAGGGAAGCAGAGGGCACTGTCACAGAAGGGCTGAGTTCTGTTCTGTGGTGTTCTGGACACATGTCCCTGGAGTTTTTAGTGCTTTACTTGGCATTTTGCAATATTATTTTAACCTTTATTGTTGTTGTTGTTTTCAATGTGTCCATTACTGTAGCCACAACAAGGTTAGGCCATCTTGCAAATTGTACCACACTAGATGTAGGTATGCAGTAGCACTGTCTGATGAACAGTTCTCATGCTAGCTGATTCTACTAGCCGACTCTAGGGACTCCGATTCTGTTCCAAGGTTTGTTTCTGGTCCCTCAAACACAAAAGCAAAACAGACATTCACCAAGTTTTCAGAGAAGAGGAATGAATAAAAACACTTTTCTTCTGCAGGCTATAACTGAACTTTAATTTGGCACGGAAGTGAAACAGTGTTCCCTTAAAGGCATGTGTTTTACTACACATTGAACTATTGATTTATAATAGTTGAAAATGAAATATGCACTTGTGGGGCTGGGAAAAATTCCCGCCAAAATATGTAGGATGCATACTTGCAAATCAGTCTTCTTCTTTCATGATCAGGCATTTTGCTGACCTCTTATTCTCTACGCACATTTCAACCGTGTTATTTGAAATTTATGATGAGTGGATCACTTTGAATTGAATTTTCCATCCTCTGGCATTCCAGACCTCTAAAAAAGATGACATTTATGACTAGAAACAAATTTCTACACCAAACTGTTCCTCTGGTTGGTGAGCAGTTGACCAGGCTTTTCCTGCCTACAACTATCCTTCATTAGAGAAAAATGAATCAATCTCTGGCTTGCATATCTATTTTTAAAAAGGCATAGAGTGACCCATGTATGATAGGAAGTCTTCATAAGCACTGCCATGCTTTTCTTTAATACAAGGTAGCACAATGTAACATGTAACTGGGACACCTTACTATCAGAAGGAGGTTTTGAAAATGATAAAATTAATTTGAAACCATTGGAGGGAAAAGTCAAAATCCACAAAATACATAAAAAGAAAGGAGAATGAAGACAAATCATTAATTTTTTTCAGGACAAAACTAAACCCCATCTGTGAATCAGCGGATCTACAGATCAGTCCTCCAGAAAAGAATCAATTAAAGATTGAAGATCAAAGATGAAGTAGCAGAAAAGACGCATTTACTCTGAAGCATGGTCAAAATAGAGGTATCAAAACACAGTTCAATAAAATTACAATTTATATGTCCATTCTTTGTGGTGTGCTCCATCTTTGTACAATACATATGTATGTACATTGCTTAATACCATGGGGTAGGGCTGTGCAAAGCTTTGGTAGCTGATTCGATTCGGAGGAGATTTGGCCTGATTCAGTGGCCGAATCTCCAAATCCGAATTGAATCGGGAGACCAATTAAAAGGTCTGAATTGAATTAGAAGCCTCTGAATCAATTACGAGATTTGGAAGGCTTGCCATTTTTTTTAATACAAGTTTTGCTTTCAACAGTTTGAGATGCACTTTCACAGAAACCCCTGCACCTATCTCCTTGAAACCTGGCAGGCTTCGTGCCCTCTGAAGGGGTCACTATCCCTGCTGTTTTCATCTGAATCTGCAAAAAATGACAAAGTTATAGGTCTTTTAGTGATTCCCCATTATAGTCTGTAACAGGGCAAGGAATACAGGCAACCCCCGCTTAGTGCTCTTAATTGGTTCCGGAAAAACTGAGCATTAAGCGAAATAGTGTTAAGCAAAACCATTTCCCAATAGGATTTAATGTAAATAAAGATAATTGGTTCCACACCACCCACTGGCCTAGAACCAGTGCTTCTGCAGCCCCACCCTGGGCCCTGCTGGCCTGGGCCGTGCACTCCTGCCAGCCCTGGCCAGGCTGCTCCCGGCAAGGCACCATGTAGGCTCTGCCAGGGAACGCATCAGCTCCTCCTGGCTTCATTGTTCCCCTACAGTGATGGCCCCTGCTGGCCCGCACCTGCTGGCCATCAGTACACCTATGCATGGCCCCAACTGCCCCGCCCATGGGGCCTGAGTTAGGGACCCGCCTGCCCAGGGATTTATGGTGAGAAGGCAGCAGGGCTCTGGTGCGGGGGAAGCAGTAGGGCCGCCCACACCCTGCTTTGCCCAGCAGGGCTCCCTCCAGGGCACCCAGCACTGGGATGAGCTGCCACTGCCAGATCGCTGCAGGCTCAGGATGGCATCCATGCCCCGCGGGTGTATGACCAGAGTGGCCCAGGCCCTGTATT